ATATATATATATATATATATATATATATATATATATATATATATATACACATAATATATACACATAATATATAAAATCCTACAAATCTCTGTAAACAATGAAGAAAATAAGCATTTCCTTAAGGCCTACATACTGCTAACAGTCGTATTTATTTTGAAACAGCTTCTAGCCTCTGATTTTTTTCTGCTATGATGAAAGTCTTTCGTAAAAGCGGTCATTTTTTGCCAGATACTACAAAATCATCTAATTCATGCATGCCTGTTGTTTGGTAATTCTCAGATGTATTTTCAAATCTTTTTTTCCCCCTCTTGGTAAAAAAGACATTTGATTGTGTGTTCAGACACACTCTGTTTGGAGATTGGTTTCTTCTTGAGGTCTCTAAATGAGGCCGCAACAGTCATCATGTGAACCTGCACATTTAATTAGATCTGATATGGTTACAGCAGGTAGCTAAGAGCTACTGGCAATGTTTCCATCAGCATATGCGCAGTGATCATTAAACCGGAGTGTGAAGTTAAAATGGGCACACTGTCAACATCAAACTTCCTACAGGCTGCAGCATCTGTGCAAATGCCGATATCGGTGCCACTCAGCTCCCACACAAAGGCTTAAGGAAGTGGAAATTGTACCTTGCAGATCCTCTCTTCTCATCTTCTTCCTCTAGTAAAGTCATTTGGCGCATTCTTTTAGCTGTATCTCCGCGTCTCACAGATCCACGTTATTACACCATTATTCCCGGTAACAAAGCTTTATCTTAGACTTTACCTCACTTAGCCATGCACCGAGAGACATTAGGCCATCAGGGCCACCTTAATGTGAGTCCTAAATGTCATTGATGACTGGGAAGTGTCACAAGGCTTAGCAGTGTTAATCGATCTGCGCTCCCTGTACACCTTTTGAAAAGGATAAACAAAACCTGTATGTGTGTTTGTCCCTTTAGCCGTTGAGTCAATTCTTTTTTTTTTAAGTAACTTTCCTTCCTCCCATCCTCTAGTCTACATTGTGTTCGGCAACAGATCCCCCCCCTCCATCTATATCTTTTTTTATGTCTCCCACTCTCCCTGTAACTCTGATCTGAGCATGTAGCTGTGACTAATTACTGTGTTGTTGCTTGGATTTCTTGTGATAGGGGGCTTCTAGCTAGAACACAAACTGATGAAACCAGGCAATCTGGCAAGGTTAAAAGCAGCTTTATAATCATGGCAAGCAATTATTTTGGTCATCTGTGCCTTGCTCAAGGACCCAGTTCAATGCTGCTGGAATATTAAATATTAAATAGCATTATTAAAATGTGCAAGTTAGAGTAGATTTTTTTTTTTTTCTGCTGATGTGCCCAATCGTCCACTTGAACCCACCTTCTACAGGAATGAATCCACTCCCAATATTCATTAACATCTCACTGTGTCCATAAAGTGAGACACTCTCTCAGTCCTAGTGGCACTCATTGTGGAACACAAATGCACACACACTTGCTTCCGCGTCAGTTTTTGCTCCCTCCGTATTGGTATTCAGGGTACCATCAATATGAATTTATTAAACATATGACCATAGTTTCTCACAGGAGCAGAGGGGCCTATACTACTAAGGAATAGATAGGAAAAGATCTATGATACAACATGCAGAAGATGCTTCTTATGCACGTCTGGATAACTGTAATCAGGGCTGTGAGGTCATAAAGTTGCCTTAATTGCATAATAAAGCAGGAGTAAGTGGAAAGGAAGTGTAGGATTTTGGACGGGAAGGCACAGGAGTCTTTACAAATAGGATTGTAAAGTTACTCACCTCGGCAACGGGCTGGCTAGATAATCCCGCTAATGTTCCCCTCCAGCAGAGGAACCCAAATCCCCCCTCCTGTGATATAAGCTGTTTAACCCGCGACAGTCAGGTTCCTCTCCTGTTTCTTTTCACTTGCATTCATCACTTTATGATCGTCTCATTCAAATGTTTCCTTAAACCCCTTTGTTCATTGAAATGTTTCCACTTACTTCATCAGATGAGGTTCTTCTCACTTTTTCAGTGTTGTCTCAACAGGAGACTGATTATTATTATAACCGTGAGACTTTTTGTTTCTCCCCAAGCGATCCTTCAGTTTATTTCAGGTGGAATTTTAAGACAATTTAGCTCTGCCTATCCTTTCTCTTAATGAGTGTTGAGTGTTGTAGCTGAAGAATGAAGTTTAAAATGGTCTGTGAAGACGATGAAAATCAGTCTCTTATAATCTACACGTTTTTGGGAAATTATGTTTCTACCTTTTTTCCTGTTTCTGAAATGCTAATTAACTTAGCAAGAAAGGAATAGTTTAGCTCTTTTTCAAACATGATATACAGCATCACACCATGAAAATGTACAAATTTTACCTCCACTGTGCTTGGTTGGAAGCCCTCTGTATGGGGTTGCTGCAGCGAGTCCCTCGGCCCAGCCTTGGTCCACACCTCGAGGCCCCGAGTATGAATTACCCTAGAACTTGACAAACATTTATGCTTCCCAGAGAGTGAAACCTCTTGACCCCTGATCGTCTGATTATTCTTCTAGCACCAGCATATTTTCATTTTTTGCCCAACTTAAAGTACATTGCATCCGATTCAACTTTATTGCCCCTCCTGGTGTAAACCTCGCTATGATCAAAGGGAAGATAAACGATACACTGCAGAACGAAGGTATTATTTAAAAATTCATGAATGGGGTAATTGGAACAAAGAACATTTGCTGTAGGGATACTTAGAAAATGCATAGAAGGAAAAAACGTGTACCTTACTTTAATAATATTCCATCTTTACACATTTTCTCCTGGACTTAAAAACAGATGCATATAATATTCAAATAATTCGGGAATTTTCAGAAAGATGTTCATAGTGACATTCAAACAAGAAAATTCGTACTTTATTAGAGCAATCAATAGAGTGGAAGGAGCCAAACAAAAATCCTGTATTACTATATCTTAAACTTGAAAGAAATCAGTTGGAACTTCAGTGTTTTCATTTTCTATTTGACTTATACCGAGTATAATCCTGACCCACTTAATTGGGTTTTAATAAAGTTATCAAAGATTGAAAGCTCTGGGTGGCTTTTTATGCGGACTTTTTATGCTTCAGTGTCTGTAAGGCTCGGGCTATTTTGGATGGAAAAATGTGCAGGAAATTGTGTTTGTGCGTTCATATATCTGCTGTGTGTAATATATATTTTTAGTTCACCCCTAGGCTCATTAGAATCTCTGATTAGGTATTTATGAGGATCTGCCAATCAGTGAGATAAACACCCAAGCTGTGTCAGTCAATTGTTTTTAATATGGTTCTTAAACTTCAACAAGAGGGAGGCACAGTTTGCACATTAACATTTATTTATGAAAGACTTTCATAGGTAGGGGGGACAGAGTCTGTCCTACATTAAAGTAGGACGTCATCTTTTAGGGCATCCCCGGTCATAATTTTGGATACTTTTCTGTTATGGGTATGTTTAGTAACTAAACAAATAATAGTGCTATCTAAACTCTCCTAATTACTGTGAATCAAAAATATGTCCATATTCATTGCTTTAGTATTGTTATTTCTTCAAATTTGTATTCTATTTTAAGGTCTGAAAAGTTGAGAATCCAAAACTTTACACTTCTCCTGAAATGTGTCAACTATTGTCTGGTAACAACATTAGAGAATACACATACAAAATGCCTGGAAAGTTGCCAGTTTGTGACATTTCTGAACAAATCCCCACTTTAAAACAGCAAACTTCCAGTGTTAAACGGGTCGAAGACATGGAGTGGCTCATTCGCGGTCCATTCTGTTAAATATGGTTTCGACTCACCTCCAGAATTAGGTTTCTAACTTAAGAACAGCCAGATCTCTAAAAACAGGGCCTGCTCTTCAACAAACAAGTCCTACAAGGT